GGCTGCGGGGTAGAGCGGAGCGGGGCGGGGCGCGGGGAAGGGCGGCACCGCACCCCAAGAAGGGACGGAGCAGCAGCGTGACACTGCAGCTGTGCCTCGCTACTCTCGTCTGTACTTCCCTTCTTTCCCTTTTTCCTCTCTTCCCTTTTCTTTTCCCCCTTTTTCCTCCTTCCTTTTTTCCCCTTCCCCCTTTTCTTTTTTCCCCCCTTTCCCTTTTTTTGCTTCCTCCTTTTCTCTTCCCTTTGCCTTCTTTTCTTTTTTCCTTTTCCCACCTTCTCTTTCTTTTTCCTTCCCTTTTCCTCCTTTTTTACTTCTTCCCCAATAAAAGATGGGTGGGTGCACACAGGTCTAACACGGACACTGGTCCAAGCAAGCCACAAACACTTGCAGAATTATCTCATTCTAGAAGGGTAAGCACAGGGAGACAGACAGACAGACCTACCACATTCAGCCTACATAATAATACAATTTCTACCAAATGAGGGGGTTGAGGTTTCAGCAATCAAAAAAAATTACTGGGTTTTCATCAGACTGAAAACTTGACACAGATGAGCATGTGCAGAGGCTGCCTACCTACCGCAGCCCCATGCAGCTGCTGTCTGCTGCAGTAGCCCAAAGGAAATAGATCCCATCAAAGACCTGGTGGGCAAGTGTCTAAAAGAAGAACCCTAAACCACGCAATTCCAAAAAAGGGCAAATTGGGCAAACAATTCTCTGGAGGAGGCAGCTGGTGAGCACATCTCGGGGTATTTTTTTGTCATCCCATTGACTTAAATAGAAGTCATGAATAGAGGTATGAGCAACTTAATAGGACACATGTCCCCAGACACAGAGTGTTCTGGGGACCAGGGACTAGAAAGCTGCCTTCTCCAAGAAGCATCTACACTGCTAAACCTTCCCAACTTCCCTTTCAGCCCTGCGGAATTAATAACATTTTCTTTCCATGTCTCAGAGGTTGAGTTTCTCCCCCTCAAGAACTTCATAAATGGAAATATTCTTTGAATCTCTCTGGCTTGAAGTACATTAGTCAATGTCCCAATTATTCACGCAGCAGCAGGCTTCCAGCATGGTCTACCTGTCATCTTCCACCGGTACCAAAAAAGGGAGCATTCATAAAGTACATTGGGCCATCTTCAAATGTTCCTGGTCCCATCCTGCCTGCTAGGTACATCCTGCCTTCAACACACAAGTGGCAAGCACATTCAGAAGACAGTAAGATGCAGGGACTGTGCAAGAAATGCTATTAAATATTTGCAACACAAGAATTTAACCCTGCACTCGATGCCCAGTGCAAAAGCTCCCCCTCACACCTAAACCAGGATACATGACCATGTCTGCTATGCTGGCAAGATAAAAGTTCCCACCTTGCTCTTCACCCTCCTTGACAAGTTTGTGACAATAGGGCTGCCACTGCCACATAAAAGTAAATTTGGCCAAGATTTGGTCAAGCTTTGACTCAGCAGTCTGAATGAAGTTACGGTTCTGAACCCAACACTCCTAAGCTTTGCTGCTATGCCTGCTGTGTCACTAGTTCAGCAATCAGTCTACCCACAGCCAACCATTACTACACGTTACCACACAACTTTGTTGTCCTCCTCCCAGCCCTGCAAGACCCCCTGAACCTATCTTCTCCTTCACACTGCTGCTGTATACTTGCAACAGTAAAAGAAGCTGGAGGGTAAGCACCTATTAACTTTCTAACATATTTCTTGCTAGGAGACTGAAGGCAGGCAAAATAAAAGCTTTGCATAGACTGCAACTGTTTTTAGTGAAAAGTACATACTTAAATGCTTTTTGAAAAGCAATCTGATAACCCAAGTAATAGCACTGTGATACAAAGTAGGATGTTTCTATTTAATACCTGAAAATATGCTAAAATGATTCCCAAGGACACAATGAATGTGCTCCTCCTAAAAAAAGCAATCGGGGGTAGCAGTTAGGTCTAATACAATGATGTTAAAGTAGGGATAAAAACAAAGAAGGACATAAAGTGGACACTTTGCACCAAAAGCACGCTAACTACAATACTAAGAGTGAAATTTTTCATTTTTACTAACTCATATTACAGTATTAAAAATTGGGACTATACCACAGACGTTGGGTGCTGGGTAAAGCATCAGCTTCCTTTAGCACTGATCTTTCAGTACAGCAGGTATTACAAATTTATTCATACGCAAGATGCATGGATATCAGAGTGAGAACAGACGTAATCTTACCTGTTCCTCTTCTCCATCCCTTGCTTCCACTTAATTTATCGACTCTTTGTTTATTCAGTAGAATATGTAGGAGTGAGGACCTAGCAGAAAAGCAATATTTATCCACTCTGTAAGCCTAGACTAAAAACTGTCAGGTTTATATGTAAGATTGAAATTAAATCAGTATACTGCACACCACAGTACAGACTCACTGCTTATCGCCAAAATACAGACGGAAAATACAAAGCAACATCAGTTCTTCTACTGTTTGTTACTCAGCTTCCGTAGGAACAGTATGTGACTTAAGCACCTTGTGTTCAGTCCCACACTTCTCAGTTCAGCATACAAGCCAGTTACGTGAGTTGTAAACATACCTAACTGGGGCAAACTCAGTCTCTAAAAAGCCTCTGCTTTAGAGGTTTTTGTCATACATTCAGACCCACTGCTGCTCTGTTAAGCTTTAATCTCAAGAAAACATCACAATTAGAAGAAATTAAGATTTAAATAGATTTCAGTTACTTAAATCCCAAATATATTTCAATCAGAGTGCAGTGAGTTATGAAAATTAATTTTTCTTTCCCCTTCAGCATTACCTGGATAACAGTTCAGGGAAATTGGGTCTTTTTGCTGTCCATGTGCAAGCAGCAAGACAGTAATTTATTGTTTCACATAGGTTACTATGTTTTGCAGCTTTCAAGAAATAACTGACTTGCATAAGGATTTCAAAGTTAAAAACTCAAAACCACAAAGCTACAAACCCAGAAACAGAATACTGCCACATAAATTGGTTTATTTTTATTCCCTTGTAGCTCCCAGGAATTTTCAGTAACAGATCAAACTTATTGTTTTAAAAGGCAAAGACAACATAGTAAATATAACACCAAACACATGACAGACCTCACAGTAGGATGAGTCTAAAACACATTTTAGAACATAACGAATACACATTTCCATTGTGCAACTACCTTTCACAATAAAAGAAAAGTTAACAAATTAATTTTAAGTAAAACAAAACGAGAATTTGCAGGTTTGCATGCCAGGAGTTTTGCATGTTATTTCCTCCAGAATACATAAAGGATAAGTAGTTTTTATCATCTTACCCCTTTTACATATGGCCTTTTAAGAGCAGCCTTTCATTTAAATCAACTTCCACTCTCTTGTTGCAGGAATCACCTGTAAGGCATATGTACACTTTAAGCTAAAAGATGAAAGTTTTTTGTTGGGTTTTTTAGGTATGTCAGCACTCCCAGCATCTGATGTATTCAGTATTCAATTCAGAACATAATGAATAATTCTAAACAGAAACAGAACCTCCCACATACTCCTCCCAAAAGCGGAGAAGCTGCACCAGAAGTTGCCTTCCTTCTACTGCACTCTCCGGACAAATGAGAATTCTGGTATTCCCCACAGCAGCTACCACTGAGGATTAACAGTAGAGGAACAGTAATATGAACAGACATAGAAGTTAGCAAGCACCTGCTTATCTCCTATCAGCTATCGCACCTGAAGAGGGAATTCTGTGTAGGGTTTGAATTTGTGACCTGCTAACAAACAACTCTTATACCCCTTTATCATCACCTCTCTTTGCCACGATCCTCTCAAGGGGTTGAAAGGGAAGAGCTCTGAATTTTCAGTGCACCAGACAACTGGCTTCCAGGTAAGAGATACCCATGGCAGAAAAACCCCAAAGCATTAGAAAACTCTCAGTAACATCTCTCTTACAGCATAAACCATGTCAGGCATCAAATTCCAACTGCAGAAGAATTACATTGCTTCCCATGACCCAAGATTTGTACAAATTGCTTCTAAGCAGCATTACAGATATCAGTCAGGACACTGCCAGCTTGCTTTTCCAGAAATTTCAATTCATCATTATCTCATTATTCAGGGAACAGGCAGTCAGCTCATGCCTGACCACAGAGCCTCACCTAGCTTTTTAAATCAAGGAAATACATAGTTTTTGCATTCCTATTCAAAGTAAGCCCTTCAAAAAAAAGGATTGCAGAATTTCCTTTTTTTATGGGCAACAAAAGCCATACTTGCAAAAATTTTAACTCCAAGCTAGTATCCATTTGATATTTTCTTTCAGATGTCAACTTTTAAAACATGGATTTAAAGTTGTTGTGGATTTAATAATGCAGATTTCATCATCCTCCCATTTCAAAATGGGACTGGAAAACTCAACAAGCAGCATCTGCAAAAAATCACGTGTTTACAGCATAGTCTCTTGGCACATTCTGACTGGAATATTATAATGTCTATCATCTTCAGTTATGAGAGTCACCACAGGCCAGTCCTCCTCTGGGTCATTGGGATAAAGCGTGATGAATTCATCAGTACTATATTTATACAGCCGATACACTTGGATGGTATACTGCAAAGCATAAGCAAGGAGAAACATTTCCACCTACATTGGAAAAAAGCAGAAATACAATGTGTAAAATTACACATATCCTTCACAAAATTTTTTTCATAAAAACAGAAAACTAATACCCATCAGATGTACTTTTTCAAAGGAAAGAAAAAAAATTAAGTGAGAGTTTAGACACACAAGCAGCTCTAGTTCAGCATCTTGATCATGTACCTGTAAGACACCATACCTTTAATATGAAGCTCTTCAGACCCAATGGCATCGTAGGATTAGTCCTAAAGAAAAGCTTCGTTACACAGAGAATCCCACTTCCCTACTGCCACAAACAGGTGGAAAGACATTCTCTCATATTACTATTCATTGTGTTAATTCACTAAACAAGACAAGAACAGGTTTCAGGCAACAATCCTTTCCCTCTTAGAGGCTACTCTGAACTCTCTAGCCAAATAAAAAGTATATGGAAAGTCCTTATAAAGCCTGCTGATAGCAGAAGGAATTCAGAGAAAGAAGCTGGAAAATAGTCTATCTTGTCTGCTACAGTGGCAAGTGTATCCTGTTACAAGTAACAATTTAAAAAGAGTATCACTGAAATAAATCTAGTCAGCACAAAACCAGGCAACATTACTTACTAAATGTGGCAGCAAAAAGGTCAACAATGAATCAGTTACTAACTTAACAGTAACAGCAACATGTCTCATCTATACTACAGTCATCACATTTCTAAGACAATAAACAGAAACCGAACATAATACTTCCATGTTTCTAATGTCTACGATTAAGCAGTGAATTTAACTGCAGTACCATACTTGTAACATCCTCAATGGGATTTTTTAAAATAGGCGTTTCTAAAATCTCTCAGGCTATCCAGCCGATTAACCACATTTTGGTTTGGGGCTTTTTTTGTAACACCAAATGCAATGTATAAGGCAGAAACTATAATTAATTTATCAGAATTCACAAAGTTCATGTACTACGCACCATCTTCTCTTCCTAATTTGAGTATCAGCTTTTATCGTGATATATTTTAAAAAGCTAACAATTAAGAGACTAATAAAAATGTTACTATTAACAGAATATCATACTTCCAAAGAATGCTACCTGTCAGCTGAGAGACAAAAATCAGTGTTTAAAAGGAAGGCCTTTACATACTGTTACTACAAGCTAGTGGTTCTACTGTGTTTTTCCAACAAAAGATCAGACAGTACACCATTAAGTTTAGCCAGACCAATGAAAGTTCGGTCAATTCTTAAACCACTTGAAACTAAAATCTCCAAAACAGGAAAATAACACTGTAAGAACAATCTCTCCTTACTTGTTCAAGGCCTCCACTGTGACCAATATGATTCAAGTGATTATGCATTAACTGACGAGGGTTGCTAGATGTATCCCGTGCAAACAGTAACCATGAGAAGACAGGAACTCTCCTTCCATTTTTATCATCATTGTATAATTCAATGGCAGTGTTGAGCATCAAAAATTTCAGTGCTTCATAGAGACTGTACTCCTCCTCTTCATTTTTAAACAATTTATCACAAGCTTCTTGTTTTTCAATAGGACCCTTGATTTCACTTATATTCTTCCACTGTAAAAAAAAAAAATAACACACACCACATCTATCAATAGCCATCACCATGCAAGAGCTGCAAAAACCTGCTTGTGAATTGTCAGATGTTCAGCACAGGCACTCTGATTTTAAGTTATGAAAGGCTTTGTGCCTTTGTAAAAAACACCAAGAATATTTCCACAGCTGTAGTCCTATCACAGTCAAACAGAGATTAGGATTAATTCAAGCAAAATCAGCCTAAGCAAAGAAAAATAAGAGGATGCTGGAAATTGATGCAAGGTGCCAAGACAAATATTGTCATGGGACAATAAGCAATAAAGTAATAACTTTTTTACTTCCTGTATCATAAATCCTACATCCTTCATGTTCTTTACATTTCAGTTACTCGGAATGAAGTATTTCATAGCAGCCCTCAAACTGCCTTTAAAATATTCTTAGAAGGCTTTAACTGGCAAAGGTTGCCCAAGGAAGTTGTGAATGCCCCATCCTTGGTAGTGTTCAAAGCCAGGTTGGATGGAGTCTTGGGTGACATGGTTTAGTGTGAGGTGTCCCTGCTCATGGCAGAGGGGTTGGAACTAGATGATCTTAAGGTCCTTTCCAACCCTGACTATTCTATGATTCTATGAGAACAGAATATGCTTGCATAGTAAGATAGGAACAACTGAAGAGTTTTTGAACAGGTTCCAGAGTTTCAAGGAAGTGAAGGATGGGGCTAGGTAATATAGTACGAACACTGAGAGGGCACAATCATATTCTCTTACCCTAGAACAAAAACGTATAAATATGGAACAAAACCTACCCCTTTGAAATTACTTCACCATTATTCTTTTGTTTTTCTTTACATGATCTGTTCACGGTAGCGACAGCATTACCCACAATGTACATGCTTTCTTCAAATAAACACAAGAAATTGAGGAAAAATGTTACTCTCATACATTTATGTCTTCATAGAAATCTATCTAACCAAAAACCTTATGCAGAGCTGCTTACAGATTAATTCCAGCACCAGGCTAACGCAAGCAACGAAAGACCAGAAAACTCCCACAAATCTACTCATTCTTTCTTTGAGAGTTTGTGGGGTTTTTTTGGTTTTTTTTTGCAGTATACATTAAATGACTTTCACTAGTGAAAGCATCTTTATGCTAAATTCACCACATTCAAAAAACTCAGTAATTTTTCTTATTTATAAGTGACCAAGAAAAACCAAATAATTTCCCAACCTTTTTCCTTAGAAGTATTAAATATTCTTTAATTTCATCATTTATTTCTCCCATCTTCCTGCTCAGTTTCTGTTTTAGCTGCCACTGCTTGATCCAGTCATACTTGCTCAGCAAATTTTCAGGAAGCTAGAAGTTAAGAGAAGAGAAGGCAGCTTAAGTCAAAAGTCTTGAAAGGAAAAGCCACCAATTTGCACATTATTTTATTGATTTTATTTTTTTAACATTTTGCACCTTAAAAATATCCCTAAACAATCTGTTCTTCTAAACACATGTCACAGTAAGATGGCCACAGTTTAACACAGGTGGCTCTATATAACGCTTTCTGGATAACAGCCAGAATACTGGTCTATTGCTTTATTTTTAATTAAAACAAACCTCCAGCAGCAGATGACAGTGACCATGTTTGAAAGTGTCCCTAAACCAAGAGAAGACAAGGTTAAAGATGTAATGATATCCACCAGCTGATCCAGAACCCTCAGTGGAGCGCAAACTGCATTGTCCAGAACACAAAGTGTGTTTTCTTTTCAGGGAACACAATTAAAATTTTGTTCTCTCTAAATTGGAGAGACATCAATTTGA